AGACTGCGGTGTCCACCTCTGCCTCGCAATTCTTTACCTTTGTCACCCAGCTTTGGGCTGCTGTGTCCGCCTCTGCCTGGCAATTCTTTACACTTGTCTCCCAGATCTGGGCGGCTGTGCGCGCCCCTGCCTTGCAATCCTTTACATTTGTCTCGCTGTGTCTACATGTGTCTCTCAGCTCTGGACTGCTGTGTCCGCGTTTGCCTTGCAATCCTGTGTCTCCCAGCTCTGGGCGTCGCAAACTCTAGTTGCAGAGTGTTCCGATTTTGACAAACACAGGCTGTTTGGGGCCTACGGAGGTATATTTTTTGAAGATTAGTTTAGTGTACTTTAGTGTTGTGATTTTCCATAGTTGTTGTTGCTTTTGCTATCGTCATAGCCATAGCTTTAGGTTCAGCTGTGCGCGTTTTGTTGCAGTTTTATCGCCAGCGGCGGCAATAGCCGGCGACTGCAATAGCCGGCGACTGCAACGGCATCACCGTCGTTCAGTGGTTGTGATGCCGTGGTTGTGGACGCTGCTACAGTAGGGGCGCTCCTGGCCTTACTACTAGGAACAAGAAGCTACTAGTAACAAAGGGCATCGCTACTAGGAGCAAGGACGCTACTAGTGATGCTGGTGGCATTGGTTTTACGAACAGTAGCAGTAGAGCAGGAGAGCAGGAGAACAGCAGCAGTAGAAGCAGCAACAACAGGACTAGCACGATTAGCGGGGGTGGCTGTCGTCCTTTCTTGTTGTTGTTTTTGTTTGTTGTTTGATATTTGCCAGTCTCTTGTTTTGCTGTTGTTCCACTTGCTCGATGAACGCCTTGCAGGAAAGTGAAGCAATTGCATCTGCACTTTCTGTGGTTCCCGCGCAACCATCAGATGCACTCCCAAAGCAAGAGCCAGGCCTGGTAGTTGAGGATCTTACTGAGCTTCCAGGAACTGTCCGAGATGTTGACCAGGGAGGCATGCCAGCTGGGACAATGACAGGAGGCATCTCAAGGGAGTCTACCCCGGAAGGAGATGCTGCAACAGACAGGACTCGAGGTTCGACATTTGCTCCAGCACATCTCAAAGGCTTTTCAAGGGACTTCCCCCGAAACTGATGTGTAAAGATGGAGACAGCAAGAGCTGCCTAGCGAAGGCATCAAAGACTGTAACTTGTCAGTTTTTCAATTGTCCGGAATGGTGAAGAATGTCAAGCTGAGAGGAGACGACGGAATATGCAAGACATTACTCTTTTTAACCCCAGACTAGATGCCAAGCTACAGACTGCTCACACTCACAAACACCGTCATTCTTCACAGGTGCTGCGTGGGTTAGGATTTTCCTGCAAGATGTATAGATCTCAGACGTTCGCTTGCGATCGTGAGGACGTCAGAATTGATCGTGAGACGCCTGAGAATGATTTTCTCCAGAAAGTGTAGTACCTGCACCTGCTCGTCTTTGCTTCGCTGCTCATTGGCCATCCGACAAAAAAAGGGACGTGCGAGGCCGCGAGGCCGCACGATCCGAACATGGTCGTTGGCCGTCTCTGCCCGGTCCGTCCGCCTTGAGAGGCGATATGGGGTAAATATATACATAGGGGGACCCCCGAAATCTCGCCCCGGTTTTTGGGTAGATCGATTTTCCTTCGATCGACGGTTTTGAGAGTTTTTTTTCTGTTTTATTGTTATTTTATTAGTGTTTTTTGTTTCGATGGATCGTCTTGGCAGTGCCAACGCGGAAAGATGTTGAAAAATGAAGCCAAAGTCTGGCAAGGCATTTGGAAAGAGAGGGCCCGTTCTTTTCCTTCAAAAGGGACTCGAGATCTCTGAAAAACGTCGTGCTAGCAGTGTGATTTGGGGTTCCCAGAAATGCCAGGTTTATCAGAACCCCCAACCAAGTCCTGCGCTCCCTCCCTGCCGGGCAGGACTCCCAACCCCAGCCCGTTGGCCGCCGTTCGTGCCATTCTGAGGCCTGGTGCGACCAGTGTCTCAGGTCCTGGCCGATCCCATGGCGTGGAACCAGGCAGATCCGGCGCACAAGCCAAACGGTAGACCGGGAGCTGGCTGCAGAATTTGGGTGTGTTTCGAGGTGTTTTTTTTTAAATGTGTGTTGGTGTTTTTTTCTCCGAAGGGTTTGAAACGGGCGAGATGTGTTTGTTCGTGTTCTTTTTCTCCATGGTTGCAACTGGCTCGTGGCAATGCTGACGTCGAACCGGACTGCTTTGGAAGACTTAGAGCCGGTTGGACCCCGCAGCGCGGCGACGGAAGTTTCCTTGGTACCCCGGTTAACATGAACAGCTATCAACTGCCCGGAATTCTTGGACCAACGGTGGGTGGGTTAACGGTGTTCACCATTGGTGTTCACCGCGTCTTTCCGAACTGTTCGAGGCTCCAGTGGTGGTGACGACGCTTTCCAATGGCGTCAAGGTGGGCGGTCCGTGCAAATGTGTCGAATGCGGTGGGGAGGGTGGGAATACTGTGCGGTGGGGAGGGTGGAGGGGTGGAGGGTGGGGGTACAGTGTTCTTTTTTGCATGTTTCACGACGAACTTGTTTCACGTTGTTCCACGCTTTTGTGGTCTTCCAGTTTGGGATTCACTTCTAGGTGGACCCCGATGCCATTGGCGACATGGTCAGAGCACTCGACAGTGAACCAGATGTTTCAAGCGCCCAAAACGCCCTGCCACACCAAGACAATCCCCAAGCGTGTCTACGACTACGAAGTCCGTTCTCATCGTAAAAGCACACGGCTAGGCGGCGGGAGGTTTGGTTTCGCAAAATTGGATCCTTCACCTTTGCGACCTCCACCATCCATGGAGTGCCCCAGTGAGCATCCAAGCTGTGTGTCTTTTTCCGGAAGCCAAGACTTAGTAAAAGGATGTCAAAGGAACCTCTTCCTTGAAAACACCGCTGTGAGCTGAACAGCGGAGCCACTCCCCCCCGTAGGTTGCGACCAAAGAGACTTTCGCTGAGGCATGTGAGGAAGGGGGGTGAAGATAAGCTGGGCCAAGTGATGGGACTTGACTACCCCAACCCTTCTGAAGAAATGCTTTGAGCTGGCAACGCTGAAGTGGGACTGGCCAGGCATCATCATTCTTCAACTGGGTGTGTATTAATATAAGAAGAAGGGAAATATATGGAAATATACCAAACCCATTGGCCACTAGAAAGCCCTGCAAATTCCACAATTGGTAGAACGGCCTACATCCATTTAGCAGCATGTTGAAATGTATTGCCTTTGAGAATGCCACACATGAAACGCCCTGGCTTTGGTGCTGCGGGGTTTTCAACTAGAACTGCTCAGAATCCAACTGGGAAGCATGTGATCAGTCACATTTGCTGGGGTAAGCTGGGGGGCACCTCGGATCATCGACGGCAAAGGACGATCACCGCTCACCATGACCAAAGCTCAGATGTTTTGGGCCGAAAATTGGATACATCTCTCAAGGCCTTTCAGGTGGGCTCAAGGCCTTTGAGGTGGGTTTCCTCCATTTAGTTTGGAAACCTTCCAAGTCCAGAATGAGTCTATCTGTGTGGGGAGGGCATACCAAGCATCCAACAAGCAGGGCGGCTCGTCACGTAAACGTCCTGGCGGCTCGTTCGGGGGGGTAGGATTTGAGGACCGAAATCGAAGCGGAGGGGTGTCCAAACGAAAGCACGGCGCATGTTCGGAATATATGTTGGAATATTTTGAGGATTCCAAGAATAATTTTAATACATGTCTGTCCGACTTTCCTTTGTTTTACTTAAAGAGCTTTATAAAGCCAGGCCAAGCAGCCTTTTTAGTTTTAAATGTTCTTGGAAGGCTAGCGATATTGATCTATTGGTTGCAGACCAAGAAGAAGAATGTGCATCGATTTGACCATACATGGTTGTGTCTTGTCCAGCAAATCTTTTGCACAAGGTCCCCCTATTGAGCTATTTCAGATTATTTCAGTCATTTTCAGTCCCTCCAAGCTGTTTTGTTTTTTTTAAACGTCCTCGAAGCCGGTGAGTGGGTCGTGTTTGGCCGAACATCTGGCCGTTTGGCGAACATCGCTTTTTGGGGATGGACATGGAACAAAAAACACGGAAAAATCCTAGAAATCACCAGACCTGGTGTTGGGGAGTCATGGATCAGCAGTTCCATCTACGTTGAAGGTCAGAACGTGGAATGCCTGAGATACAAGACATTACAAGACAATGTTGTCCTATTTTGTCCATTTCCAGTGGCTGTTTGAACATCCCAGCTATAAAGTTATTTGTGTTATTTTACTTTCTTTTTAAGCTGACCACATTTCTTGTTCTCGGCAATGGCTTTCAGCTCTTTTTCCTCTCATGCCATCTCCTTCCGGCCCTCTTTGGCTCAACCCACCGCTGGGGCGGGTCCCTCAGCTGCTTTTTTGGCCTTTCCCGTTTCCAAAGAGGCAGGTGACGGGCCGGCGCTTGGTTGGCCCGGTTTGGTTCTGGAAGACGGCACGGTCGGCCGCCGGTGTCCTGCTGGGATGTCCCGTTTCCAAAGAAGAGACGGCACCGATTTGGGGAGGGGCGCAAGTGCAGCTGCAAGAAATGATGCTTCCTTGACTCAGATCTGCAAGAACTGGAGCTGCAGGTGCATGCGAATCCTTCTAAACCTTCTCCATGGTTCTCGGTCCATTCGACTGGTTTGATGACGCTCCTGAACCAAAATGCCATATAAGAAGGCCATACCCAAACACTCCATGGGACCGCCATAGGACTGCCAATCAATTGACCCCTAACACCACCACCCCCCCTGGCCGTTTGCAGTCCGGACTGCCAGGGCCCTGACGGGTCGTGTCAGCTGGTCGCGACCGTTCACAGCAAACTGGATCCTACGAAAAAAGACGGCTTTGGTCATGAAAAAAGGCATATCCAAGAAACCATTGGTCGGTACAGTCATTGGTCGGGATGAACCGTTCTTAGTTCTGATCTTCAAGAAACCATTGGTCGGGACAGTCATCGACACTGTTGGGGGACGACCACATCCTTTCTTTCAACGGGCCATCACCAGCCATTGCAGCCATTGACCGGCATTCGTCCGGAGCTTACCCGGAAGTCTGGGCAGCCCATGTGGTTCTCTAAAAACCTTTGGTGGATGACATCCCCCCATGCACAATCTCAAGATATCTCATTGACTCCATACCCAAACCATCCTTGAATGGCATTTTTCCATACATTGACGGTTCCAACCACCCCAACTGATCGGAACACACCTTGCCAGTCCCATTCGTCTGATCCGGGGCTAAGACTCCCCATCCATGCACCGGACAGACCGGACGTCGATGCCCGAGTCGCCCCGTCGCCCTTTCGTCGCAGGCGGCGTGGCGATGAGATCGGATCTGGGCCGCGCCCATGTCTTGCCAATCTCACCCAGGCGTGAAGCAGCAACTCCGGATGAGCAATGAGCGGGATGAACATATCAAGCAGTTTGGCGGGGGTTCGAGTCATGAAGTGCGGCCAGAAGACGAGATGTTGTTTTGGGAGTTTGGGGGATCCAAGTATCCCATTACCAGTACTCAGTTGGTAGAAGATGAGCACTATTTTTTTTGGGAAAGTCTGCAATCGAACTGTTACCGATATAGATACTGTATACCAATCATTATAAACTAATATAGCAATAGAACTCTGCAGACAGAACACTCCAAACAAATTACTGTAAGTCTACCTTCCGAACTACGTCCCATGGTACCTGGATTTCACCACCGCGGAATTGATCCTGCGGAAGTCTGTGGAGGTGCCTTGGGTTCCAGCAACCACGTGCGGTCACGTGCGAAGTGCAACCGGTTGTGGGAGTGTTGGAGTGCTTTGGGTTCCAGGATGGTCCAGGCAAAGTTGGGTGAATTCTGATGAATTCTGATTCTACCTGGTGGATCTACCAAAAGCGCCACTGCGGAGGGTAGTGGCGGGTCATCAAACTGTCCCAAGGCTCTCCTTTTGGGCTTCTGAAACTCACATCCGTCGCACTCCCCATCCTCAGTGTTGGACGTTGAAGACATTCTTCTCGACACCGCTGTGAATCCAGGTTTGATGGACAAAATTGACAGCAAACATACAATATACCTGGACCCTCTAAGGGGTGCCATGTCTGGAAGCCTATAGGTAGTGTGGGGTAGTCCATTGGACACCCCTTGGAGGGTCCTGGTATATCAGCAGTTTTGCTTCTATATCTCTTTGGATGTTCAACCAACACCCAAACAACACTGACGGGGTTCGAGACCCAAAGGCCCCTCCCTCCGTCCATCTGCACTGGCTGCAAACGTGGTTTGCTCCAGTCCTGGCACTGGCTCCTCATTGAGTAATGCCTTGAAGCAGCTCAGAGCCACCAGAGGCCCTGCTCCGGCCGTTAGCGGCCGTGTTTTGCGGGCGTGTTTGCGCGGACGTGTTTGTCGGGAGAGAACTCCACTGGAGTTCGGAATTGTATCGATTCTGGATGGCCTGTGAAGATGAAAGCACAAGGATCACGCGTGGATCACGCCATGGATCACCTGGACTCTGTTTCCGACTGGGGTGAATGTAATTAGTGGATGATCTCTGGTGATCAGACCGTGGGGAAGATGTATTGCTTGAGCATACATCAAAGGACCTTGAAGCAGCCTGGCTGGGCTCTCTGCTGCTAGTCTCTTCAGATGCAACCCTGGGACCCTGCCACAGCATGGTCTGGTTGATCCAACGGCAACGACCCCCGGCTGCCGACTCCCTGGAATAAAAAACCGCACAAACCCATGGGGCCTTGAGGTCTCCCATGGGGCCATGAGGTCTCCCTATGATCTCCCTATTAAAATACACACGTACTATATATATATATATATACCGCTTACGCTTCCTGTCGGGGTGTCTGTTTGGAGACCTGTAAGTAGTGTGGAGAGGTCGATTGGTGACCCCTTGGAAGCACCTGGTATATAATAATTATATATCCATGTCAAAAAAAACAACAACATATTTTGACGAACTGGACCCGACCTGACGTAGAAAATAGGACATGACCCCATTGAAAAAGGGTACGACTCTACCCATTTTCTGAGGTACAAACTGAGACCCCAGGTACTATGGTCAACACGGGTCAACAGTTGACTGGGAAGTTCCAAAAGCACCCCCCAGTTGACTGTGGTGCCCTCGGCAGATCGGCCCTTCTCATTCATGTTGGTCCTTTTCGCAGCATTCTTCAACCCCCGTTTTTTGGGGATTCTTGGCACGTGGCACGTGTCGGAATGGATTGGCCCATGATGGGGGCCGAAATGGCACGTGTCGCACGTGTCGCAGCCTTGGCCGTGTCGCGCCACCGGACCGTCCTTCGGCCACGCAGACGCGCTTCCTCCTTGCGTCTTCTTGGTGGTTCTGGGCACCTTGGACAGCAAATCGGGATCGAGTCCAGGAGAGTCTCAGGGTCATAGTTCATGACGTTCATGATCGTCATGCCTCAGTTCATGACTCCTTTTACCGCAATGGATCACCGATCTACATAGAGATTGGTGGTGGTTGGATTTGGACTCCCAGGGTGGGGTATCTATTTCTGAGATGATATGAGTCACAAGGGAAGATTCTGGGAGTCTGGGAAACTCCGCAGCGAATTCGGGGCCGAGAGCCTCGCTCTCCAAGGGCAGAAGGTACCCATGGTTGGGCTAGAAAGCCAAACCGCTCGAGCGGTCTGACCGGTCGAAGTCTCCCGATGTTCGGGGCGACCGGTCCCAAACCTGAGTCCAACGTGTTGCAGCGAAGGATCTCAGTAGGATCAAGCCAAGTAGACCTGGTGCTCCAGGGACAGCCATATCTCATTCACGGTCTGCCTCCCAGGTGCCTCCTCCAGAGATGAGGCGGTCCCGGTGCTCAGGGCTCGGAGTGGTGGAGCGAGCGGGCCTGGCCTTGGATGGCCTTGATTGAGATGGAAAAACAGGCCTAACAGGCCTTTTGCTTTGGTGGGGTTGAATTAAGTAGACCTTCTAAGGGGTGTCCTGGCTGGAGGTCCCGGAAGTGGTGGGCTTGGGATTCCCCAAATGTATCCAAATGTGCCATTAGGATCCATTAGGATCCATTAGGCCACTAGGTATACAATGATGGGGGCCTCGGGAGAGGTGGAGAGGATTGGAGAGGTATACATCAGTCTGCTCAAGCATTTTGCGACCACGGGAGTTCAGCCTTGCCCCCTTGCAACGTCGCAGTGGAAAGCACAGTGAGCTCTGCCTCGGCCCTTGTAGATCTTAGCTTTTTGAGGGCAGTTGTCAACCTATAGGGGTGGGAGTTGGGTACCCTCGCTCGCTGGGTTTAAACACATCTGAACTCCATGAGTGCAACATCATGCCATACTGAGTCATACTGTCGTGGGAAGTTGCGGATGGAACAGCATCCTCAATCCCCAAAACGCTTGGGACTTGAGAAGCCATTCACACCACGGGGGTGAATTGGAGGCATCACCGTGGCCAAGCCCTTTCGTTTGGGACGTTGACCAACTGGATTCCTCCACCAATTACGTTAATCGAAGGATTTCCTACAGCCTGGAACTGGCAGTCACATGGTTTCCGGCCGTGCTGCTGCTGGTGCTTTCCCAGTCTTTCTGGAGGCGTCCCAAAGCCGGGCGAGGGAACATTTTTCACCAACACGATTCAAGACCCATGGCCCATTGCTTGCAGATCTTCTTATTAAAAAGCCATAAATCAAAAACTCAAAAAGACGAAGAGGAACGCCGTATTCATATTATGTGTGTATGTGTTGGTGTTGTTTCGTGACCTGTTTCACCCACATGTTTATACCTCGAAGTCTTTGTTTGAGCTGAGGCCAAAGACTTTGACCCCACCATCGCTGCGGAGGCACCGACCGTCGGACGGAAGAATCTGTAGCAGGTAGCACCCAAAACGTTCATTTGTTTTGCTCGATCGCAGGTTCAAAGAACAAGTGCTCGGTTTCTTTGGGGGACAGCAAACATTATATTGCTGGGTACCTCAGCATGCGACATCAACACATGGCAGCTGGGGTACGATGGCGTGCACATGCATGTGAAGAATGCATATAACTAATGCCTGAAAGGGGCTGAATAACAAAGCCCTGGCCACCTTCCCAGCTCAAATCTATGGGCGGTGCACCTGAGAAAAGGACTTGGAGCGTTTCGCGGACAAAAAACGTCTCAGCTGGCTTTAGCTCTATGTGGGCACATGGACTTGGCGGAGGGGGGCGCGCGCTTACGGCATTACCGGTCGAACGTACCGACTTTCAGGGGTCCTTCGCATCATGCCCAAACCCAGACACTCCATGTCTGTATATGCCGCCCCATTGGGGTGGTTTTGGGAGTCAATGTAGGCATATATGGCAGTCCCATGGAGTGTTTGGGAAAGACTTCATCTTCAAACCCATCAAGAGACAGTTGTTAAACTCAGTGGTCAGATGAAGAGGGAAGTTCCCTGACTGGACGCGTTCCCGGAGGCGAAGTTCTTTTTCGCATCCGCAGACCCAAAACCCCTAAATCCGATGGTCAGGATTCCGCACCCAAGGACTGACTGGTGCTTAGTAAGGAATGAGAGAATGGATCCTAAGGTATCTATAAGGGGTCATTCCCTCATTCCCTACTAAGTACCAGTCAGAGGAGGGCCTGTCAAAGGACCTGAACCAGATGGGCAGCCTTGATGGACGGCTCTCGTGGCCGGACGTGTCATGTCTCGGTCCTTCTCGTGGTCCACGTGAGCTTCTTTTGCTTCGTGGGGTGCTTTGGTTGGTGCTTGGTGCCCACGAAAATAACGGCCAACCACCAAATAGGCCACCGAAGTGACCGTCGCTCCTTTAATGGGCTGGAGGCAGAGAGTCGTGAGAGAATTGGCGACACGGTTCGTTCAATGCTTCAAATTGGGTCGAAGCCCCCGCCCACTGCCAGGCCCACTGCCCCAGCTTCTTGCGGCATCATTCACGTTTTTGTCCTGTGACAACTGATATTGTTTGCAACGACGGATGTGCAAGCGCAATGAAACCAATGAAGTGGCAATCGCAAGAGCTTTTTTGCCAGCGATGCTTTCCACACCTAAAGCTTTTAGGGTCATTCGCCCACGCAGTAGACAACACAAGTGCTTCCAGAAATGGAGCAGCCAACTGCTTCTGAGAAGACCACTTGTGCTTGCATTTATGTTAGTTGCGCGTGAACATGGCTTTGCAACATGTTCCACGTGCACAGTCTTTGACAAACTTTGCATCATGTAGGCATGTGGGGTGCAGTCATTGATCCCCAGACTGCCAAAAAATGCCGGCAAGCATGTGTCAGGCACGTCACACGGCTACAAACCAACCTTGTCCAAGACTTCAGAGAGTGCCCAGGTGGAGATGCCAGAGCACCATCGGATTCCTCATCATACCATACATGTCTTCTTCTATGCCTGCATGCATGAATGTGCACAACATTTAAACGTGGATGCTCTGACTCAGGAACAGCCACCATGAGTTAGCTGGGCCTTCCTACTGTATCTGATACAATGAAAGCTTCGAACAAACATGCCCTACCTTTTGTAAGGACATTGGCCAGGATTTCAAGGTGCTCGCTTTCGCCCTCTCTGAAAAAGTCCGATCTATGTATAACTAGGAAAAATGTGTTCAACGAACGTGTGCACATGATTATTAACTTATTCTGTGCTCGCACCACTGGGGGTCCATGTAATTCATCAAGTTGCAGGCGCTGGCATTCGATCTAGAGGTCTCCTTGAACATATCTTGAACAGATCTTATCTTAATGTCTTTTTGTTTAAATGTGTCGCGTTTATGTATATGTAGTGTAGGGCTGGGATGTTCGACTTAGGCGAAGCGTGCCCCCGAAGCATGGCTCAGAAGCATGCCCCATAGTCAAGCCTCCCGGCGGAACGTTAAAGATATTACAGTAGCTTGTTTTGACAAACACAAATTAGATGGGTGGTACGGTGGTGAGCTTTTTGGAGAACCTTGTGGCGACCACGCTTGGCCCCTGACCTTTCCGGGGGCTTGGTCTGGCCGCAGACCTGCGCACCGCGACCACCGCAGGTCTGCGCGTTGCTTCCGGAGTTGCGACGGCCCTTGATCGGAGTCGCGCCCGGGACACCCAGATCGGTCTGTCGAGACCAGAGAGAGGAGGAGCGGAGCCAGTCGGACGCGAAGATGGACAAAGCAACTGAAGAACAGTGGCGTGGCTTTAACATATTGGTCGTCATGTGTCCTTCAGAGGGTGGGGGGGAGAACGTTGCCACATGGGAACAGCGAAGTGAACACGGTTGGTTCCGCATGACTTTTTGGAGCGTTGATGCTGCCCAGACCATCCATGGTAATAGTTATATACATACATGTCATTTACACCTTGGTGGCGACGATCCCATGGACCCTGAGTACACCACTGAGACTGGAAAACCATCGGACCCAGGGGGCCAGGACGTCAGGGTCTATGTGAGTGGACTCGGGAGTGTACCCCATTTCTTGCCCTGTAAGTAACTCTTCCGGCAGTGAGGCCCTCAGATGAAGGTGCCTAGCGCGGTACTACCAACGCGCTCGCTAACTCCGTCAGAATACGGCCCAGAGCAGCGCGTGACTCCGGTTCCGTTTCATCGTGGTGGAGGCTACAACAGGTCTCCGAAATGGTTGCTTTTTTTGGAGACTCAAACGTGGCAGCTGGTGACCTGTTGGAGGGTGCTGGTATATAGACTCAGAACTTCCTTCATTTGCCAGCAAGCCAATCATATTAAAACCTGTGAAACTAACAAAACGGTGAAAGCAATGGTTAACATCACCCAGGTCAACCGTTCAGCCACTGTGGAGTAGTGGGGCGAAGCCCTGCAACATCCCGTGGTCGTTCCATCAGCAGTTCGGAGGGTGCCGGTGCCGAACGGTGCCCCTGTCACGTCAGCAGCTGTGTTTTGGGCGAGGCCAAAAGCATCCAACTCCATGTGACTTCCAAGTTCATGTCCTTCTGTCACCCAACACAATGCAATTCCCTTCTCGCGCCGCCGCTTGAAGCGTCACCTTTTTAAAACGCCCACAAAATCCGACTCCGTCCTCGCCCCTGAGGAAGGGCCAGATCCATTGCTGGGGAGCACAACTGCTGAATGCCTGCGACCGGGTTCTAGCATGTGAGGAAGCGACCTTCGAGGAGGCGCAAGCTTTCTCAGTGACGATCTTCGCGTCAACGTGCGTGCGCGGTGTTGGGGTGGAGACAGAGGTGGAAGATGGTGGAAGTTGGAGGTGACGTGGTGGGGACAATGCGTACAGTTTTCAGCTTGGAGAAGCTTTGGTTGTGCCTGGATGTCTTAGGAGCTTCTCCAGATGAAAAGACTCCCAGAAAGAGTGAGGCTGGTTGTCTCCCCTTTTAGCTCTACGTGTCGGTGTGTGTGGATGTTTGCCTTTCGAAGAGATGCTCCAGGTGTTGGTCAAACGAAAACGAAGGAACCACGAAGGCAACACAGGATCTTGCCACCTCGAGGATCTGACCCGATCGAATACGAACAAGCAAGAGCTTCCAGCTATTTCCAGCTGCTTCGAATGGATCAGCATTCTTTCACCTCAATCTGGGTTCGACTCCAAATGGGGAAAAGAAACGGCAGACCCGGTGGACATGCATGGGGGTTCCAATTTCATCCATCCATGGCCAAATCTTGAAAATTACTAGACATCAGACTGTCTTAGATTTCAGTAGACACCATGTCATGTTTGCACGAATCATCAAAGATACTTGATTCATATCTATGTTCATGGTTGTTCGGGGAATCAAGCTGAATCAAGTCGCTGTTCGCCCCATCGCTATGGTAGAAGCCGCTTTCTCTCTCCAAGCGCCAGAACCAGGGTACGGTTTGTTCCTGGACATTTTTCTTAAACAAATAGCTAGCAAGCGATCACCGACGCCTCGTCCTTCCTGAGGCTCCGCACGGATACAATAATTTCCTACTAATGGACCTACAACGGCCCGAGAGCCTACCCTGGCAATGGCAACACTGAAGATTAGGGTACTCACCATGCATGGTGTGGGTATAGTGGACTTTACGCAACAAAGGGTGTCCACACCCTTGATTTTCAGCCTCTGCACCCGTACAAGGCAGGGCACTAAGAACTTCCAAGTCCGTTAACAACCGGTAGCGTTTTAAGACAGTAGGGCACTTGGTGCAACGTAAGCCTTTCTCAAAAGGAACCCAACTGTGGCCCCCAAAGCGCTTGACAAGAGCTTGGGTAAAGAATTCCTATGAATTCCTTTTTGGATCTTTTTGGTACGTTTCCACGTGGAAACCTTTGGGTCAGTGGATTCAGCAGTGAGCCAATACCTAATCCGTGGTAACATCCAAGCTGTCAGCCTGGTGACTCGACCAAGAACCCAGCCAGTAGCTTCAGCTTTGGCATAGGGCGCCACAGATTGAGCGGTGATTGTAGCCAACTCATCCACAAATTTATTAGCTTGCCAAGACCAAGCTTCACCCCCTTTAGAAAGATGCTCAGCAAGCGTAAGGTGAGATTTAACCTTGGTGAGAAGCACTCTCTTGCTCAAGTGGGCAGCAACACCTGCCCTTAAGTCACCATGCGGATTGCTGATTTTGTGGGGTTAGCGCTTTAACTTAAGGTACACATTGATCACGAAAGCAGCATCGACAGCAACCAACGCTTCAAAGGTATCAGGCAAGAAACGAAGCAACTCCAGAAAAGCGCGAAGCTCAGCGCGAGCAACTGTGTTGGGGTTTCCATCATCACAAATGCGCCCAGTGATACTACCAATAAGGACAAACTCATCATCAACACATGAAACAGCAACAACCGACCACGCACACTTTCTGAGCCTGGGGTCTTTGGTAAAAGGGCCACCGCTGCCATCAGTGGCAAAGAAAACTTCTTGCCGCTTGCCCCTCAAAAGCAGCAGGGTCAAGAAAGTACCTGGCACGAACAACTTCTTCAGAAGTGATTGGCTCAGCAGTGGTCCAAGCACGGGGCACCAACCCCCTTAACCAAAAGTGCAGGCTCTCAGGGCGACAGCACAATCCAATCCAGGCCTCCGGAACAGGGCCACAATGCTCAATGCAAGCAGCGCACTCATAGAGCATGTGGTGTAAGGTTTGTTTAACATTGCAATGCGAACAAGTCCTTTTCTGAGAGTTTAAGCTGTGTTGCAATGCACCCTGCCACCATATCTGCAACATAGCAGCATCTTTCACAGGAGAGTCAGTAAACCACTTTTTATGAAGAAACACATCAAGACCAGATTCTAAACCTTCGCCAAAGAATTGATGTGACACAATCTGATTTTGGCCGCGCCGCAGGGATGCCAACAACCCAACTTCAAGACAAGTGAACTCCCTGCCAAAATCTATTTGCCATGGAGCACCAAGATCATCAGGCCAACGATCAAGCTTGGAAGCGTCCCAGCCAAGGTCCATGAGCACAGCCGTGGCCGCTAAGGGGCCTTTGACCATTTGCCAGCGATACTTGACTTCAAGGAGCTCAGACCAACTCTGTTCCCAGGCACTTGAAAGGGCTGAACAAGCCACAGTGCCACAGTGCCGCCTCACCAACTGGAACCACAATCGCAACTGCGCGCATCGTCGCAAGCGACAATAGGGGTCATCGGTTGTTTCAGCATGGATTTGCATGGCAACTTCGAGGGAACCCCGGCCTTGAACCCACTTTGTTCCTGGACAAAAGATAACACACAAAGAAACAGAGTCAAATAGTTTCAACTACCTTGACCCCCTAAGGGGTGGTTAATGGACATCCCTCAACCTCTAAGGAGCTATGATTGGACACCTCTTAGGGGACCCTGACATAGCTCCATTTTTCAACTCTATAGCTCCATCAAATGCTTTCTTGGAGAAACCCATCTTCCACCAACCGTCACGCCTTTGTTTCGTGACCCGCACGCAGTGGTTTGGCCCGTGAACGGTTTGGCCAGGGTTGCCCAACGGCCGTGGAACGCGTCCCTGTTGGGAAGCTGAGCGAAGCTGGCTCGGCTGGCAGGTCGGTGTGGCAGGTGGCAGATCGGTTCTGGGGACTCTTTCAGGTTGTGCTGAATTTCACTGAAGTGAGGCATTGCAAGGTATTTTGGCCGGACCTCTAAATCAGAGGATTTCGATGTCAGAAATATGTCGAAATATACAGAGGAGATCTACTACTTATCTCCAGAGGATCCCCACGAGAGTTTGACCAGTATAGTCAGACCATCCGCCGAAAAGTGCGAACCACCATATCAGTTGGCACACTCTAGGTATTGGGTATACTTTCATGGTACTTTCTTCCAGGTGGTTCACCACGGGTTTACAGCATGCGGTGGGTGTCACACATCTCTGTTTCACCTCCGGAGGTTGGACCCGGTTTTGGGCCCCGCCCGCCTTCCGATGAACCGGGCCTTGCGGCCAAACATCCAAAACAACACCGCCAGGGGGGTCTCCCTCTTAGGGTCACCCATATTGGGTGGCATGAAGGGCTCATGAAGGGCTCATGATGAATCCATTTTTTGGTGGCTGAAACAAGAACGGACGCAACGCTTAAGCGGGGGCAACGCATGCACTTGGGCAGCGCCTGCGCCGTTTCGAAGATGGTAGGGGTGGGCGGTTTGGGGGGGTCTATCCACCTAGGATACGCAGGGTCCTTACACGGTGCAAATCAAGTCTCAAGGAACTTTATCCAGTTTCTGATTAGAAGCAGTATTGCCCTCCCCGATGACATCATCCAGTTCTGAACTGGCCAATCAACTGGGCGGCATGGTCGGGAAGATAGTCGCAGTCAGTGAAACCGAGCAAGAAGGAACCCCAGGGCTCTGAACGCCCCACATCCTCAGAAAACAACCTTTCCATGATCTGAGACTACTGAGTGTCAATTCTCAGATCGTCCTCGATTTGAAGCTTTGGAGTAACCAGATTTTCGGCCATGAACCAGCCACGTGCTGCTCGGACTTCTCGGACTTCAGCTCCATGCTTTTCCTCAACCCCTTGGTCTGCCCAACCCTGACCTGGTCTGCCACCGATCATCGGGTTGCTGCTTCGGTCGGAAAGCTGCCCGGGTTAGTCGACGCGGACTCGACGCGACGGACTCGACGCGACGGACACGGCGCCGGGAAGCACCGTTCTTCGGCCGCCGCCGCAGCCCATGCCGCCGAGGTCGGAAATCTAGGCACACAGTGCTTCGGGGAGCGAGGGTGGCTTCGGGACGAGAATGCCGGCCATCTTGGGCATGGGGGAGCGACCCATGGTCATGCGGAGAAAAATCCTTTGTCCATGTTTTTTTTTTCAGTTGGGATTGGTTTCTGCACTAGAAAAAACAACAGGTGGAAAGTCCGGTTGACCGTGATTTTCTAGGGAAATCTAGAGAGTCAGATGAGGGATCCGAGGTTTTGAGAGATCTATGTAATATATACCTCGATCATCCTCGATCTTGATTTGAGATATCACATGCAAGAGGTAGTAGAAAGAAGTTCTCAGTTCCCTTTGTCATTGTATATCTCAACAACTTCCCCTCATGACAGCAACAGTTGAGAACAAAATTGAATCAAGTGCTAGCTTTATAAAGCATGACGCGGAAACTGGTCAGAGCATCTCAGAGCTTTCGTTCAAGTCTCATTTCAGAAACAGATCCAACATGGGCGCAGGAGAGTGGGTGGGCCCCCCAAAGCCAACTGGCGTTCATGTATGATTCATGCTTCAATTTTGTCTTCAATACACCTACCGCAGACCTGTACACACCTACACATGGGGATGCGTCAAAACCAGGATACCTTGGTTGACCTACCAACCATGCTCGCGGACTCTGTCTTTTCGGCGCTTCCCATGACCCTTCGGTTTCACCGAGTATCTGGGAGTGTGGTATGTATGACAAGAAACTGTACAATAACCACACAAATCAGTATGGATCCACGTGAATTCACCTAATTTGGAGCCGTTGGAGGACGAATAGTATCGAGATTTTGGCCACTATTGAATGCCTGACGTAGAACATCCTAGAATCCAGACATGACCCCTTTTTTGATAGGAAGTTGGACCATAATTGATTTGGGTGGTTGCTGATCCAAAATAGAGGTGATTCAGGTTCTAAATGGCTCTAAGTATCTGAAACAGTGGTTTCGGTGTGGGTTTTGGGTGAATGAGCGGAGAGAGGCGGACAGAGAAGGTGTTCAGTTTGGCGGAGTTTGGCGGGATTCGTCTGTTCACCCAAAAAGCACGTCCAAAAGGCTTCCAGATACGTTGTGAACATCTTGTATAACGTCCATCTAAAAGTAGGCGCCACTCGGTTATGATCATCTACATTCATCTACTCATTGGAGAAGCTGGTGCGGGACATCCCCGCTACTTGCCAAGCCGATCTGCAGAGAGTGCTTCGCACGTGCCGGGCGGCCCTGCCTGGAAGGTCGTGCGCTGCATGGTATTCGCGGCTCCAGGTTTTGACCCATTCCCATATCAGCCCCAGTGAAGAACACCAAGAACGCCTACTTACTCTAGCTGAATCCCCAATGCTGGGCCGCCTGACACGTGCGAAGCCTTCATGACGGGCATATATCACATTTGGCAGATATTTGGTTCATCTCCGCTTCATCCGAAGCCAGGCTGTGAGATGGCGGTCCTGGCCAGGGCCCTCGAGCGGCAAAGCTCTGCCCCTTGGAGAGGTCGTTTTGTCACCGGGGTTTCAGGGATTGTTTTTGTATATGTATGTAAATATGCTAATATCCATGGATGGTCATAGATGGTCTGGGTTTGGGGGTCCTTTGGGAAAATTGTCTGATGATTTTTGGACCTTCTTTTTGGGCTAAAAAACGGGGTAGGGACTTTGGATCGTTATGGCAGACCATGGCGTGGGGTGGGTAGAGTTCGATCGAGTGTTCGAATCATCTGATTGACTGTCGCTACTGCATCTGCCTTCGACTTCGGCGAAAAGAAACCAAAGCGATGCCTCGCTGAGGAAGCGCTCGCGTCGGTGAAGGTGGACTTCCTTTGTTCCAAGGCGACGTGAATGTCGGAACTTCCACTGGAGGGGATGGAGGGGAGAATGGGGAATGGGAATGTCAGCAATGTGAAGAAACACACCCAAAAACCGGACCAGTGATCCTCAGTGCTTCAAACACAAAGGCATCTCTGATGCCGTGACCGTGGCGACCACGTGACATGGATATTGGGACTCTCAGAATGTGAGGATGCTGAAAATCCCGGGATGCTTTCCAACCCCCAGACACTTCATCGGACTAAAGTAATATATGCATGCTACGCATCATCTACATTGATCCGTTCTTCCAGGGCGGCATTCCCCCGGACTGGTCGTGCCAGCCCGGTCCCAAAGGTCCCTGGACTGTTCTACATTGAACACAAGCGCGTTCGGTATCGCGAAGGGCGAAGCGGCGAACCGCTGGAGGGTTGGGAGGTGAAATCCCCACCGGTGTTTTTCCTCGCAAGAAGTGTGTTCACCCGGAAGGAAAGCACCTCAGGACTCTGTGATGAAGAGCTGCACTTGGGTTATGTTATCATCGACATGGGTCGGTCTTGATAGTGAGTCTTGTTGCAGTGCAACTGAATGGACCCCCAACAAAAGGCCTTCATTGGGGAATGTTGGGGATATCAATGGATATCATGTTTTTTGCCCAGTGGTGTGGAAGGAATCTGTGTTCTTCAATCATGCATGTTTTTTTCAATCGACTCCTGAGTCAGAACAACATCCCCCTCTCCAGGTGCTGCACATGATGCGACCGAAACAGGCACGGTTCACCTTGGCCCTTTTCCGTCCACGAAACGCCGGTCACGGCGGTCACGGTGGGGCGTGGAGGTTCGGCCCTGGATGTTTAGGGTGGTTTAGGGTTTGCGTTGCGGAGAGTCATCCACTGGGTGTGTAGCTCAAACTAGGGAGTCGGACAACGTAACCATGTTTTCTTTTTCTGGATTGGGTTCGTCGGACATCGGGTATCGGACATGATGTCTATATATCCAAAGAATTTTCAACTCCCTAGAGGGCCTTTTGCGATAATAAAGGATGACCATGCAGAAAGATCAGGAGTCGTTTTCCCATTGTCTTGATCTGTCACACACCACATTGGTCACCACATACACTGAGCCACTGGATGTTGGGGGTCGGGGTGTTTGTGATCCACGTTGAGTGGCGCCTCTGGGGGTGAAATGCCGAACTCCCAGACGACAGTCCAGTGGGTTGCGCAGGGCGCGGTCGCTTGGTCGCTTAAAGCACCAAACACAAAAACTCAGCGACGATGCTTCGGTCAAAGACCGGCTGAAGATGAAGATTGAAACACCAGGTCAACAGTTGTTGTCTTCCTAGCATAGGGTTTTCCATTGGTAACCCCATAAGCAAGCAGCTGGTGCATTTTGCGGGGTCAAACCGTTTCTAGTGCACCCCTCTTGGTTCCAAAGCGCACGACTTCTTGCACAGGAATGGTACCCCTGAGGAGTGACAATTATCACTTCATGTTGAAATCATCAATCTTTTGGAAAGACTTGGAAAGTGGTGTGACAAAAAGCACTCCGGAGTGGAACAAAGATCAGTCCAACCATAGTTGCGTTCAGATTGCGTTCACAGTGCGTTCACTTTTCGTTCAATTAACGTTCGCTTTGCATTCACAAAAAAAACATTCTGGAGCAACTATTCTCACTCCCGAGTGCTTTTTGTCACCCCACTTCCCCAAAGATTGATCATTTCAATTTGGAGTGAAAATGATCACTCTTCAGGGTTACCAGGTTGAGCCATCAGACATCAGACTGGACATTTCTGTGGAGTGGAACTGCCTAGTGCAGTTAGAGGTGTTTGACATCCACTTCCCCAGGATGATGCAAGCACAAGGCTGGGATTCCGAACCGTACCGTCCCGGGTGGATCGGGACACCGTGCCGTACCGTACCGCGCCCATCCCGAAAACGTCGCGTTTGGTTCGGTGAGTGCGGACCGTCGGGAGTGTTGGATCGGACGTCAGGGTTACACCGTCTGAAGACAAAGTAAGGGGGTACTCGCCAGTTCCAGGAAGAGTCTGTATTCATGTCCGATCTTCCACTGGACATGTCACGGGCTGGTCTCGACGGGCGAATCGGACCAAGATCCCAGCATGAATGGTGTTTTTTCGGTGACCCGAAAGTAGAGAAACAAAGTGTATTGGAAGTTGTTTGTATTGATTTGGGACATCTAATAATATCTAATATAACTATTGTCAATATATAGTTTACTGGTAGGCTAGTAAAGCAGATCGCAGTTCAGACCTGCATACCGCCGTGAGGGTGTCATTTTTCCAGCTGGTAGCATGCCTCTTATGTGCCACCTTCTAAGTTGTTGGCGTTCGATGCTAAGCATTCGAGACTCGCATCCATGCAGAAAGAGTCTGTGTCCAAGTTTACTGTACCACGGCCAAACAGCTTGTGGTTCTAAAACATTAAAAAACTATACTTCCTGCACGGCTGCATTGAATCAGAGCAACAGTACAGTATGAACAACGCCGCATAAATTTGACATTTATGGCCACCAGCCAGACGTTTTGCAGTCTTATTTATGGACCATGGTCATGCCATTGTCCAAACCCCCAGCAGACTGATAGAAGTAACTTATATATATATATATGTATACGCCTTAGGCTTAACTTTGAAAGTCCAGCAGTCCTTCTTGGGTAAGCAGAGAACTGCCTTGGCCCCTCAAAGCCCTCACCATGGACGTCACACGAGTCCTTGTCCGAAACCACAGGAGCGCCAAGGAAGAGTTGCTCGCACGCGCTCTCCAAGAGGCGCACTCACGAGTCCCGGTTTTACGGGTCATGGCAGACTCCAGAGAAATCCCCTTTGGGACTGAAGATGGCTCCCCTAAAAGAACACTGGATCCACATCCAAGTGAACGTAGCCCTGCTTGAGCCTTGCTGGCACATTCATCAAGAACTTCGACGTTCAGGATTGACATGTACCATCACCCTCGGAGTCCAGCTTTTAGTTTTTACCAACACATTGTTATGGATTTTAGACTACAAAACCAGGTCAACCATTCTTCAGATTGGCTCTTGAAGGCTAGGGCCGCTAGGGATCATGTACCAGTACGGGCCCCCACAATGGTGAGCAATGAAGGCCTTTGTTCCCCGTGACTCTCGAAAAGGAGGGGTCGAAGGCATGTTCCAACAGTTCCATGTGAGCGTGAGGAAGTCGGGTTGCCCCTGTCTCATCCATGGCTCCTGGATGATGCAAGCCAGACCACCCAACTCCATGGCTCCTCCAGGAGAGCCATGCGTTGCACGAAGCAACGCATGCGACCGGGAGTGATGATCATCAGGGGGAGTCAGGGAGAGTCTGAATGGCTCCGTGAAGATTGACATGGCCGGGTTGGAGCCTCCAATGCGCTGCACAGACGTGGTGGATCTTCATCAAATCCTTTGCACACTTCAAACGGTTTCAGGGTTAAGAACGGCCGGTCTGTAGACCAGGTTGCTTATGGGTGATAAGCTTTTCCTATATAACTATCAAGTTTTCAGGATTCAAAGACCCTCCCCCAGGGCCCTGTATAATATGCAACAAGGATGCAAAACGGATATTTGTTGCGTTATGGCTTTAAAGCATTTCTTGAAGGGTTGAATACGTTGACTGCGCATTTTGTTTTGTCCGAGGTCGATGTGTAGGCTGAAGCCAATCATGAGGCGAAACTCCGAATCCATCAGAGGTGACCCAGCACATCTTGGATGGGTCATGACCCACCGGCAGACTGGTCCTGTCTAGCCGCGCGTTCCACCACTTCGACGGTGCCTCTGTGCCCCTCCCGTGCCTCAGGCGCATGGCTCGCCAATGCGCCGTGGCGAAGTGCGGCGACGCTCGGCCGAGTCCATCAAGGAAGATCCCGAGGAGCGAAGCTTCGGCGCGACGCCGCGAGCAGCTAGCTGCTAGAGCTGCTAGCTGAGTGTGAGGACACGGAACCGTGTGTGGTGAGGGTTCTTAGGTATTTATAGCGTGATTTGATAGATGGGTCAGAAGAAGTGTTGCACGACAGCAACTTGGTATTGATGCGACCTGAGGTTGCGTCTTAGATATCGGCTGATTACGTTGGTACCTATCGGGAAATCTGCAGATACAAACATGCACACGTTTTCAATGGTGCAACTCCACTCGAGAAGCATAACTCACACTATAAATAGTTTTCTCGGTTTTCTTTCGGGAATGCCACAGGGCAAGCGCATACGATGTCAATAATGCATTTTCACTCCAGCAACATAACCGACACCGCCAATGATTTGTTTGTTTTTAATAGGCCTTTAACAACTTCAAAAGCGCAGCATTCTACAGCAAAAAACACTCCCCCAAGCTAACACTTACAGCTGAGCTATCTCGCGAACTGAGACAACGTCCGGATTTGGCCCCCACAGCGGCTCGCCTGAAGTGTCCTGTGATCACCTGTTTGCAATTTTGGATTTCAGGGTTATCCATCAAAGACATGAATAGTTCATTGGTGATGACATGTGATGACCAACTCATCTAAATTTTGCCTGCTTGATTCACGCCTCAGGACCAAAACGCCGCTCTCTTTCATGAAGTCATTGTGAAGCGATCAATTTTTGGAGGGTTGGACGGCCGGACTTCACGCCTTATCCATGCCGTGAACTCGGATCGTTTTCAAGATCCTCGGTCGGTCCTTTCGGGCCTGAGGCTTTCCTCTCGACCCCAGATAAAACAAACCATGCGAAGCCTAGGGCATCCAGGCTTGATGTCGCTGGTAACCAGTGGTTTCAAAGACTAAAACTATAGACATCATAGACCTAGAAACCCTGGTTCCTTGTATAGTGGTAACTGGGATCCACTGGGAATGTTTGCGCAGCTTTGGCGCGACCAAATTGGCCGTGGATTTCTCCAGCACGGCACCTGACACACGCATCATTTTCTGCAGCAAACAGCCACGCAAATTGTAGATCTGTTGACCCAGATACATTGGCCCCAAACCACTCCAATGTTTTTATACGCGACAATATGGCATACATGGAGCGCTTGGATCAATAAATCACTCCCCTAACCGGTTTTTACCTCATGTTTTTTCGTCCAGGTCCACACGACTCTTCCACTGCTCGACTGCTGATCTGCGGAGGAGTTCGCCAGCGATGCGGAGACCAGCGAGGGCGAGGATGGCGAGGTGTTTGCGACCAGCTCGAACGGCTCTTCAGAGTCAGTCTGAGCTCCTCGGTGTTGAAGTGGTTTTGGAAGCTTGCAGTTGGTCTTCTAGCCTGGGGATCCATCAGCCTTGGAAAACCCAACAGTGGTGGAAGTGGACAATTGATGATATTGCTCACCAAGAAAAAAATCTAAAGAAGAAACACAACGAAACAAATCCGACATGAATTCCAATAGCGATCCTCTCTTGACATGTTTTCGGACAGATCGGGTCAGCCCACCACAGGGTGTTCTCCTGTCTGCGGCTCAGGAGCGTTCCGCCACGAGCCTTGCGTTGCGAGCCAGCGTCCAGTCCTGGGTGGGAGGTGGATGCCGAGAATCGAAGAAAGGCCGCTTGTTCCTAGTAGCGAACCTTGTTACTACTAGTAAGGCACTTGTTACTAGAAGCGATGCACTTGTTCCTAGTAGCTTCTTACAAGGCTCCAAAATTGCGAACAAGTGTGCCAGCCATGAACCATTCTGAACCGGATATCAAAATGATGTGTGCCGGATTGGGAGAAGAAGTAACTCATCATGTTTTTGGCTTGGGACGTGTGTTCCCATTGTTCCCCCTGTCCAGCCCCTTCTTTATCCTTCTTTCATCCACGTTGGCCATGGAGTTTGCGGTGGTTTGCAGTGACGTTTTCTTCAGGCCAAGCGGCCAAGCGGGAATTACCCTTGAACTCCTTTGAATGTGTCTCAGGTCTTTGGAATTCGTCAATCACACGCCCTCAAAAAGCGACTCTCAGACAAGCAGTTTGATCCACCCACTTTGATTCGTCCTCTCGCGGAACTCATATTTTTCTAGGATTTTTTTTCGTTTTTTTTGGTGATTTTTTTTCACGTTTAGGCATTAGGTATCTCTGTTGGCTTCTGGTGGCTTCTGGTAGCTTTTGCTAGCTTCTGTTGGCTTTTGCTGGCTTCCGGTGGCTTTTACTGGCTTTTGGTGGCTTTTGTTGGCTTCTGTTGGATTTTGGTGGCTTCTGGTGGCTTTTGGTGGCTTTTGGTGGCTTCTGGTGGCTATTTTGTTGGCTTCTGGTGGCTATTTTGTTGGCTTCTGGTGGCTTTTGGTGGCTTCTGGTAGCTTTTGCTAGCTTCTGTTGGCTTTTGCTGGCTTTTGTTGGCTTCTGGTGGCTTCTGGTAGCTTTTGCTAGCTTCTGGCGGCTTTTGCTGGCTTCTGGTGGCTTTTACTCGCTTTTGGTGGCTTTTGTTGGCTTCTGTGGGATTTTGGTGGCTTCTGGTGGCTTTTGTTGGCTTCTGGTGGCTTTTAGTGGCTTCTGGTAGCTGTTGCTCGCTTCTGTTGGTTTTTGCTGGCTTCTGTTGGCTTTTGGTGACTTGTGTTGACTTTCGAAGGCTTCTGTTGGCTTTTGTTGCTTTTTGCTTTTGTGGCTGTTCGCTATCCTTGCTTTGCTTATGTGATGCAGGAAGGAAGAAAGGAAGGAGGGAAGGAAGGAAGGAAGGAAGGGAAGGGAAGGAAAGAAGGCAGCAAGAAAGAAAGGAAGGAAAGAATGTGAGCACTTGCAGGTGGCCAGCTTGCAAAGCTGTGCTGCCTGCAGTGGCCAGTGT